TGGTCCGGGAGGTATCCGACCGTTTCAGTTTACAAACATTGCGCTGGTACCGCATGCTAAGTCGAATATTCTTAGCGAATACTGGCTACAAAGAGGAGGGTTTCAGATTATAGGGTCAGCCAATGGCGACTTTAAATTTGTTTTCTATAAGAACCAATTGGTTTTTGTGGGCAAGGCAATTAACGGGGCGTATTTATATACAATCCAAAACAGTAAAAGAACGACAAGCGTTCTGCCATGCGGTGAAAACGCAACCATGCAAGCCATTGGCACTGCCGGGAGTGGGCAAAGTAGAGGCTGCACTAAAGGAATGGCACGTAAAGTTGGGGCACTTGAACAAAGAGCAGGTGATCACAATGTTGACCAAACCAGTGGTAGCCGGTATGCCCACACTAAAGGCATCTGATCTAAGGCAAGTGCCATTCTTCTGTACAACATGTACGGAAATAAAGAAGAAACGGATGTCGTATCGCAATACAAAGGGCTCAAGAGATGCAAAGCCGATCAGCACGATACACAGGGAAACAAAGGGTCCGATGAAGACAATGGGAGTCTTTGGAATCGTGGGCACTATCAAGTACTTCCTGAGCATCATTGATGACAACACGTCATGGCGTTGGACATACGTTCTGTGGAACAAGAAAGAAGTGTTCGAGAAGGTCCGAGAGCTCCTGCTGCAACTTGAACGTGAAGGAAAGCTCACAATCAGGAGGATTCAATCCGATGGTGGAACCGAGTTCGTGAACTCAGCGTTCAAAGACTTCTGCAAGGAAAAGGGCATCATCTTTCAGACATCAAATACATACAGCCCAGAAGAAAACGGGGCGGCAGAGCGGGATCACCAAAGCAAACTAGACAGAGTTCGCTGTGCGCTCAAAGATGCTGACATGGGGTATAGATGGTGGCCAGAAGCCTTGATCTATATGACCTATGTTCAAAACCGTACCCAATGAGTCGGTTGGGAGGAAAGACACCATACGAGATGGTGCACGGGAAACCACCCAACATTAGTGGCTTACCTGTGTGGAATAGTATCTGCTTTGCCCACATACCGACTGCACTTCGCAAAGACAAGAAACTGTCTGCTAGAGCGCTTAAGTGCCGGTTCCTGGGTGTCTCAGAAGAAGCCAAGGGCTACAGACTATGGGATGTCTATAACAACAAACACATCGTTGCTCGAGATGTGCTGTTTGACACAACCAATGTAGCAAACATTGTCAATCGAACCTTTGACCAGTCCAACCCGGAGGTCACAACTCAATTTGCTCTGCGAGAGATACCCGGAGCAATGGGAGAATAGCAGACTGCATCTGAGCAGGTGACTGCTGAAGCAGTGGGAGTTGCACCTCCTACTGTGCCTCCAATTGAGCCCGCTGAAGCAGTGGGAGTATCCAAAAGAAAACGGAGCGCAGGGTTAGTGGAAGCGTCACAGTCTGTAGCGCGACCCCGTCGAGAGTCCAAACGACCAAAACGGTTCCAGGACTATCAGTGCTTCCAGGCAATCCTGGACAAAGCTAACGCGGAAGAGATCCTAGAAAACAAAGTTTCCATACCAAAAACTATCAGAGAAGCTCTGCGTGGACCCCATAGGGAGCAATGGAAACAGGCCCTAGAGTTAGAGTACGACTCTCTCATTGAGAACGGAGCCTGAAGATTGGTACCACTACCGCCTGGCCGAAAGGCTCTACCATGTCACTGGGTGCTCGTGGTGAAATACAACGCTGACGGTACTGTCGAGCGACTCAAAGCACGACTCGTTGCTCAAGGTAACTACCAAGAATTTGGAGTTGACTGTGACGAGGTATATGCACCGGTAGCAAGGTTTGAGTCCCTACGCTTGGTGTTGGCCATTGGGACTATACTGGACGTCATATCCATCAAATGGATGTCCACACTGCGTTCCTAAACGGTACCATGGAAGGAGAACAGAAAATCTACATGAGACAACCTCAAGGGTTTGCGAAGCGAGGCCAAGAGCAGCTGGTCTGTGAGCTTCTAAAGAGCATCTATGGGCTAAAGCAGGCCCCTCGCATCTGGTATAGAGTTATTCATACCTTCTTGACATCGATGGGTTTTGCTCGTTGCCACAAAGAGTTTTGTATCTACGTGCAAAAAGTGGGAGATGAATGGCTTGTTGTCGTGGTATATGTCGATGACCTCACTATTATGTCTCGTGACATGGGGCTCATCAACCGACTGAAAGTCGAGCTGTCAAAACGGTTCAAAATGAAAGATCTGGGAGACATTCACTACATCCTCAAGATGAAAGTGCGACGCAACAGAAAGCAGCGAGTGATGATGATCTCACAACGCAAGTATATCGCTGAGCTGATAGCTAAGTACAACATGGTGAACAGATCACCTGTACTAACCCCACAAGTACCAGGGCTGACGCTAGAAGCTGAGACGAAGATGAATGCTAAGCAAATAGCAGCGCAGCCTTTCGACTACAGAGGCATAGTTGGATCACTCCAATACCTGGTTCGTGGAACACGACCTGACATTGCCAACGCGGTGAGAGAATTAAGCAAGTTCCTATCGTGCTACAATCGTACACACTGGGAAGCGGCTAGACGAGTCCTCAAATACTTGAAAGGGACGTCGACGTACGGTCTACTACTCGATGGAAAAGAGAGTGACGTGACTTATGAAGTGTACACAGACGCGAGCTTCGCGTGTCAACCAAAAGAACGCAAATCAGTCACCGGCTATGTGATTAAAATGGCTGGAACCAGCGTGTCGTAATGTAGTAGCAAGCAAGGAGGTGTTTCTTTCTCTACTGCTGAGGCAGAACTCATCGCACTAAGCGAAGGTGCCAAGGAGAGCGAGTGGATATGGCATCTTCTAGGAGAAATGGGATTTCCACAAAAGGGTCCGGTGCAAGTCTGGTGCGACAGCAATGCTGCCATCAGCATCGTCAGAAACCCAGGAAACCACAAAGCAAACAAGCACATCGAAATACGGTATCTATTTACGAGAGATCTGGTAGAACTTGGTCATCTCAAGATAACCTATTGTGCCACAACAGAGATGGCTGCCGATATTCTGACAAAGGCATTACCAACCAAACAATTCCTAAAGCTGATGCATTAGCTAGGAGTGATGGATCTAGAGCTTACCCCTAGTACTTAGTGGGAGTATTGGCGATCAGACGCCGAGTCGCCGAAGGCGGCGAAGAGTCGGTAGAGGCCAGACAGATGCTGGACAGAATTACGTGTGTCAACACAATAAAAGACTTACTTTCATTAAAGCAATAGTAAGTACTAGAGTAAAACAGATCCTACGAGCACTTGGATAGAGTGCACCAGCAGGCAGAGGCTGTCTGCCAACCAGACTTGAAGGCAGAAGGGAGAGATGCCGTCCGAGGACGCAGTCCGAGGACGAGTTCACTTCTTCTTCTGCCTCAGACTGAGCACAAGTCTAGAGAATAGGTAGTTAAGAGTAAAAGTAAATAAACTGTTTTGAGAGCTACTCTATAGCGTTCATTCTAACAATATCGAATCGGGATCAGGAACTTCCTGAATCAGTCTGACAGGAAGTGAGTCGCCCTGGAACAGCTCGCGAGTTGCTACAGTTTTGGCGACTGGACCGCAGCGAAGGAATAAACATGACCAACCTTACGCCGCACCAACATAATACCGCAGAAGCCGGACAATCATTATCCGTCGAGATGGTGGCGGTCCATGGTGCCACCCTTGGCGGCCACCATTGGTGGGTCCGGCTTGGGCCAAGTCATCGGTCATATCGATCACTGGCCAGTGGGCCAGCACAATGCAAGGCAAGTGTGCCCAGCACTCCGTACAGTCTGTACTACAGTCTGTAGTCTACATGTACCAGATTCATGGTAAGTTAAAATACTGTATACGTAGTAGTTGAGCTATACTTTGTTTTCAGCAGCCAGACTGTGCAATGCTTCAAGCAAATGGTCCGACATTCGGATGCTGAGATGATACATGGAGTAATATTAAAACAAGTACAGTATGGAGACTTGATTCGCAGTGGACTCAAGTCCACTGCGGATCAGTCTGCGCTTAAATGACGCGGCGTAATGCGGCATGCCGGGAGAAAACATGGCGTTCGCAAAGCGGACCCACTCGCTTCAAAGCCTTCACTGGTGCTGTGTAGTTGTCGGACACATGGCGTTGGTAATTCGACGATGGATATAAATTCCATGGACGCGGCTAGCTTCCACAACTCGCCCGTGATCTCAACTTGTCTCCTCCTAAAGACGCAAGAGGAGACTTCGAATGCTGTCCATGGCATCGTAACAGGCTTTCCGGCTTGAGACGTTAATTCGCAGTGCGAACCCAAACTGCGCCCCAGAGAGATCACTGGTCGAGTCAGCAGGCGAGACAAAGGCAGCAGCTCCTTCTCGTGTAAAAAAAGCCGGCGGGCTTCCATTATCACGGCAAGATTGAGGTTTTGCCAAGACATCCTGGCCAGCCAAAGCAAACTTTTGGAAGGAGCCACAAATGATCCGGTCTCCACTAAACCCCCATCATCCGGTGTCCATCCGAGCCAGCTGCTGTTGCAACCCACTCCGATAAATCCTCAGTCTTTACTCTAAAACGTCGCGCAAACGTTTTGCTTAATCTGAGAAAAGCGTTCATTTGCCGTTTAGCATTTTGGAGTGAACAGCTCCGAATTGTTGCGTAATGCCACACGTGCTACCTCCGCGGCCGGCGCTGTCCTCCATCCATGTGCTGGTGCCCGGCCATCACTCGCCCAAGGACGAGAATGACCATTCGGTGTGGCTCACAGGTGCCGGCGTGCCCGTCCCGACGCAGCCATCGAGATTTTCAGCCTGCAAGCGCCGCGCCTCGTCACTAGGTGACCTGTTGCCGCGGCCGCAGACGTCTTCATCGCCGGCCAAGGCGCTGGCCAGTGCCTTCCATTCCGTCTCGGAGCGGACACACCAGAAATTGGCCACTTTGCGGTCTCAGTCGGACAATTTGAGGAAGAAAACGAGCCCAAGAGGCGGCTGGCGACTGCCCACTTCAATGAAGGTGAACAATCCTATTCGAAGACCCACGCCCGTGGCCAGCCACAGGTTCAAATGGGGAGAGCAAAGTCTCCTGCAACACGCCCAGGCCACGTTCGAATATCACGAAGAAGACGCAGGCTCAAGCTCGAGTTATTTCCACATTGTGGCCGACGGCGTGTCGTCTCCTTTTGGCCGTCAGTCTCTCGCTGCAGTGGATGAAACACCTGTGTCTTCGGCCATACTGTCGGCCGAGGTCGTGAGGTGTGTCCGAGTGGCTTTAGAAGAGCTGACGAGTCACAATAAGGAATCAATCGACCAAAAAGCCTTCGAGGGTGCAACAGTGGACGCCATCAAGACCGCGAGGATCAACTGCTTCCAACACCGGAAATCCAGACTGGCCACGACGCTGGCCGTGTCGTATTTCAACCGCTGGACGGGCAAACTCTTGACTTTTTCACTCGGCGACTCCAAATGTCTGGTAGTGAGACGGGGAACTGTCGTCTACGAGACGCTTGCCGTGCTACGAGAGTTCAACGTCCCCACAGTCGTGAACTTGAAGGAACAGGTGGTGGCCAAGGACTACGTCGTACAGAGCTTTTCCTTGCAGGAAGGCGACGTGTGTCTCACCTTCTCGGACGGACTAGGAGATAACGTATACAAGGACGATATTACTGCAGCGTTGGCAGGAGAGGCGACGGGACTGCAGAGTGTTTGCGACCAGCTTGTCGGCATGTCAAAGGTACACGCAACGTCGAAAGAAGACGGTGATGGTCTGTATCCATTTGCCACAGCCGCAGTGTTGGAGTATCGTGAACGAACTTTGGAGGAGACGGAAATGGCAACTGGTCCTTTAGATGCCAGCGGTGTGGACCACTTGGCCGTGTCACTTGAACTCATGGAAAGACACAAAGGCAAACAGACGCTAAATCGCCATTTGCTGCTACGTCGGCCGTCCCGTAAACACCATTATTCCCTCGTGCAACTTAAACTGATGGCCGAGATGCAAACGAAGAAACCGGACGACATTACGCTCTTCATGACGCGTTTTGTGCACGTGTGAGTTAAGGTATACATCCCCTTATGGCCACTGGCTGCATCGGCTCACATGTCGGCGATGGGGTTGGCGTGGATGGTGACGGACTTGATGGCGATCTCCTTGAGCGGTCGGTTCTTGGCGTCCACGGGCGTCTTCTCGATGGCGTCCAATGTATCCATGCCGTCGATGATCCTGTCAAACATCAGGTGCAGTATTTATTCAGTACAGCCAACTAACTCGCACCACGGCGAGTACATACACACACCCACAGGTAGTTAATATATCTAGACATATTTTCCCCACTTACTTGCCGAAAACGGTGTAGACATTGTTGAGGTGTGGCTGCTTGCCATACGTGATGAAGAACTGCTGTTTGTTGGTGTTGGGACCGCTGTTGGCCATGGATACGATGCCTCGGCAGTTGTGCTGGTCGTAAAAAAAAAATAGGCAATCGACATCCCAGTAAATTGTGTACAACTCAAGTCATGACGTACTCTGTTCTGCGGGTGGAACTCGTCGTCGATAGTGCCGCCCCAGATGCTTTGGCCACCTTTGCCTGTGCCCGTTGGATCCCCACCTTGCACCATGAATCCCTTCATGTTCCTGAAAGTAAAAGTTAGCGGAGACTTTAAGTTTTAGCGCAGATACTTGAATTCACCGGTGGAATTTGGTGCCGTCGTATGCGCCGCTTGCACAAAGCGCCAGGAAGTTCTGCAGCAGCAATCAGAACGACGAGTTATTGTAAAATAGGTTTGAAAAAGGTAAGAATGAGTGGCTTATGATCGTACTTCGGATGCACGAGGCGCTGTATCACAGCAAACTTCGATCTTGATGTCGCCCAGAGTCGTGTGCAGTGTGACAGACTAATGTGAAATGAAATGGAGCGTTAGAAGTATGCAGAGAGCTCGGGCAAAATGCCGCTACAAGCAGCGCCATTACCATTGTCGAGTCAAGTGTCAATAAATCGAATGGACCAATCATAGAATTTTAAATAAATTCAGCCAGTGAAATCCAGTACTTGTTTTTAGATTAAGAAATTACACGAATAGACTCACTTCGGCAGTTCTTGTCTCGCCTCAGTGGCTGCTAATGAGCAATCTGCAACAGTGGCACCAACATCTTTATCGCAGGCTGTTGAGCTGACAGCCTTGGCCTCCCTATTTGCTTGTTGACACGGTCGGCACCCTGCGCTGTCAGGTTTGCGCATGCGGATAATCTCGCACATATTGCACTTTCGTGTAGGTTCCACTTCAGTTGCCTCGCTTGGCTGGGCATCAACAATCGGTGCACCAGAAGATGCAGACACGATAGCCGTCGTCATCGCGGAGATAGCATCACCGTTGCTTTCATCCTCACTGTCAGAGGAGACCACAATAATTGCCGACTCATCCGGTTTCGTCTCTACAAATCAATACAAATACAACGATAAATACTACGGAGGTACACTAATATACATGTACCCAAAGCCACAATCGTACCATTACTTCTTTGATCTGCTTTTCCAGTATCGGAGTCTGGACAATCGCTCAAAGTTGCTGCCGCAGCGATCGCAACAGATCCACTATTCACGTCTCGTACAAAGCAGAACTCACAGTAGTCACTGTCATCTGACGTATCTCTCGACGACGGACGCCACCTACGCTCGTTTTGACCATCGTCCAGCTTCAGTAAAAACTCTGCAGTACTCGCAGCTGCCCGGCGGAAAGCTTCTCGCTTGTCCTCGTGACTCCCACTGCCAATTTCAACTTTCCCGACGACAAAACTCCAATGGTGTAGACGTGTTCCACGGAGGTAGTGCGTCCCTCGAGGTAGTGAGAACTCAAGGGTCCGGTCTTTGAGATTGTTCCAAGCGCGAAGAAAAGCAGAGGCCAAGTCCACGTCGTTTTTCAGCCGATTTCGGTAGACGTCGAGGCACTTTTCCACCTCAAATTTGAACTCACGCCACGAAATTGCCTCATCTCTCATTTTTCTAATAACATTTTCAAGTAGCGTCACCGTGGACGACCCGTTCAGTTCGAGCCAAACTCGGTTTTCTACCCTCACTGCAACTCGAGTGTTTTTCAGTTGTACATGCACGTGGGGCTGGCCAATATGCTCGATTCTTTGTGTGTATTTGATATACCAGCTCATTTTGCGCGGCTTTTTCGTGCAGTTCAGGACAGATTCTAATTGATTCGGTAACTTCTGGATGAACTTTGATAGTAGAGGCTGGAGGAAGGAGTCGTTCAAGGAAAAGATCGGCTCGCAATCGGTATCAAATGTGCGAGCTTCAGTTCGAACCGGTAACGCTTCTGGCTGGTCGACGGTTAAGTCCACAATGTCATGGCCATCACTGGCTCTCGTTGCACTAGCAACAGGAATGCAGCGAAGTACGCGAGTGGGTCTCTTCTGGTTGGTGAGTTCGATCGTCTGTATCGCCTTCAAAGTGAATCCCTTCCGTGTTGTCTTTGTCGCGACATCGTGGTGGACGAGCATCGGACTGGCCGATGCCTTGAGACGGGCTCGAGTAGACCATCACTCTGGTATCACTGGTTGCGTTTGACTTCTGTTCATCTAAATTCTCAAAGTCGTCAATGACGCGCTCGTATTCAGTTCGTCGAAACTCGTGATTGAGTCGCGGTAGTTCTGGATTTAACCTTCGTGCGTTGTTGCTGTACCTTGGCTGAGTATACTCCCACAACGGGCGGCTTTGTTCATCGTGCTCGTCGAACGTTGAATGCTGATTCGGCCACACCAAGGAAGTAGGTGCCGCGTATGTGCGTCTGGAAGGTGAATCTTGCGGCTCCACTAGTCTTCCAGCTCTAGAACTAGCTGCTCTAGCTCGAGTTGTTGCGTACATGATAGGCCGAGGTCGACTAGCCCGACGTGAAACGATAGGTAGTCTACCCATTGCCTGTAGTGAAGCCCGCATATTGGACTGAGCATCGTCCTCCGAAGTCCTTGCTCGACTACTACGAGGAGGAGGCCTCGCAATTCGAGCCGCTCTACTCCAGTGAGATACTTGCGGGAGTTGAGAGAACACTGCAACCGCCGGTATAGTGGGAGCTCGGGGCTCAAAATACGAGAGCACCTCATTAAACTGCATGCGCTGTCCAAGACGAAGCCTTTTCCGACAACTGGATCGTGTCGACTCAGCTTCAACCGCTCCACCACTTCGCGATCGGTGGACAGCTGCAGTTGAACTGGTGCCTGGGCGCTTCCGTCGCGGAATAACAAACACTTCATCTGTCTTCTTCTCCCTGGAGTCGTCGCTTGCACGTGCACTCGCTCCCAATACCAAGAACAAATCACTTCGTCCTTGTGACTTCCTTTCTTCCAGCACTGCTGTCTCTGCGTTCGCCTGACACTGCAGCTTCAGTCCTCGATGCAGCTGACACACCGATCGCCCGCAGTAACGGGCGTAGGAAGTGAGCAACACCTTACGACAGTACGGGTTTTGACACCAACTCGCTGCGTCCTCGTCCTTCTCTTCGGCTGTTTGTCGGACCGCGGAGGCTTCTGCCAGAGCTTCCTCCACGTCGTTCTGATTGTAGCTCGTCGACGTCATGAGCAAAACGGAGCGAAATGAGGGACGTCGTGGTCATTTTGCATCTCGTGGAGTAAAAATTGCGCTTCTAACCAGGATGCAACGCGACTTAAAAAAAATTGTCATGTTAATTCACGTATTATAGCATTATTTCCGGGGAAAAAAGACTTTAACATTATTTTTATTTGAGTAATCACCCGTTGCCTTTCTGAAAGTCTTGGTTATGAAGATTCAAGCGCTCCAAGATCAACTTTCATAATTCAAGGGTGTAAAGAATACTATCTCCCGTGAAGAGACAATAAAATTATTTATTGCTCTACTATATCTGGAGCAGAGGAGCTTGGGGGAGACAAAATAGTAAAATACAATGCGAAAAGCAGCCAACACGCGCACAGTCTGCGTGCCACACAGATCGAGCGTGTGCTGGCTGCTCTCTGGCACTGCGCCAGAGAATCTGCGGCAGAGGCTAAGTGAGACGTGGGCCATCCAATGGATGATCCATGCGTCTCCGACCTTTAGCCAATGAGCTGACTGCCCCTTGTAGCAAAGAGCAGTCAGCTCATTCGGCAATTTTCTCTCCAGACAGCAAGGCCTTGGACGCGGGCGCAGCGTGCCTCAACCGTGATTCCGGGCACGACGGCGCCCGTGCACATTGATGACCCATCTACCGACGTGCACGCTACTTCTTCGCTCTACCAAGACGTGCAAAGCTCACGTGCGCGGGCGCGAGGTACCTCGGCAATGATTCCCGGCACGGCGGCGCCCGTGCACATTGATGACCCATCTACCGACGTGCAAAGCTCACGTGCGCGGGCGCGACGTGCCTCTGCCGTGATTCCCGGCACGGCGGCGCCCTTGCACATTGATGACCCACCTACCGACGTGCACGCTACTTCTACGCTCTACCTCGGCATCAATACTATCCCAGTACAAACAGATCTGTAATATGGTTAGGTAGCGGCGAACTGGCTTGTACGGAGCATGTTGAAGGGTGTAAACCCTGTACTGCTCATGCGGATAGTCTCGTGCGTTGCTAGTGGTGATCAAATGAAGAGTTCTAGATGAGGTGAAGAAATAGGAATTTCTTATGTAAGGAAGCATATATGTATCATACGCCTGCTGATACTTGTTTAATTCTCTGTCGCTTCGGCTTCAACGTATCGCTCTACTCGGCGCCGCTGGCGCCCACGGTATGTACGTATTTCGTTTGAAGGGAGATTAGCTACCGGCTCCCAAGAGGTAAGAAATTGGACACGGCCGTTAATTCGTCGATCAGCGAGGATGGTCCGCATCTGGTAGGCTGGTAGGCCGCTTAAGTCGGTTCCAGTCGGTAGGACCTATTCCGCTTCACCAGCAGCTGCCTCAATGAGGCGGGTCTTGTTGATGCGTGCTTTTGGCACAGCATCGAGCAGCCGCTTGATTGCGTCTGCCGTATTTAAGGTATCACCTCGCTGAACATAAGCTTATTTCCTCAAGTAACGGGCCGCAGCCTCATCGAGGCGCCTTATCCACGGGCGCGAAGGTGCGCTTGACATCACCTGAAGAAGGCAGGAAATGATGTCGGTGGGATTGCGTTCGTTGGGGGCCCGTCATGAGCTGGAGAATGAAAGCAAACCATGATTAGTTTGAAGTGAAGTGAAAACTGAAGGTGAGCGCGATGCTATTATTAATTAAAAAAATATAGACACGAAGCTCAGTTTCTTTGTTTAGCGAGCAGCGGCTGTACTAACGGCTAACGGATTTTACTCCGTATTCAACGCATGTCGATTTGCCAGTGGGCGCCCGGCAGGAACTCGGGCACTAGGCGTATCCGATCGGCGGCGTTTCTTAGACACAGAGCGATTAACTAGAGTCCTTTTACCATCCAGTCCAGTGCAGTTCTTAATTTGCAGAGCAAAAAGCAGTAAATGCAGATTGCAAACTTGAAGTAGTATTTGCATCCGCACGAATTCGTACTCAAATTCACATGCCAGCCTCCCTAATTCACTCTCATCTGGGCCGACACTGGGGCTACCTCGCGAGTGCGCCCGAGCTCCGGAAGATAGATACGCTCACAGCCACGTGACTTCACACGAATCACGTCTGGGTTTGGGGAAACAAGTAGGAAGTCGATGTTGGACCGGCTGGGAGTCATGTCTACAAGAAGATCTCGGTGGCGAAATTCCTTAACCCTTGCGTTTAGCTGCTGGGTGGCTTCAGGAAATTCCTTGAAAATTCTTAGAGTTACCGACTGGTGACCGCAACAATCCGCCAGCAGCAGGAACAAGGTCCCGATCTTATGTTTGGTCCGGAGAGTGTAGTCACACTTGTTCAGACGGTTGAACAGCTCCGTCGGGCTGCTTGTGGTGGCGTATCCACTGGGGGTATGGAAGCATTGCCAACGCCAAAATGAACTTGTCACCCACGTACGATCAAAATAGCCTTGGAGCCAAATCAGCTGCTCTTCATCCGACCACTTTGCTAGAACCTGTTTCACTTGTTCGTCATAGATATCTTGGCTATCCGCGAAATGGAGATCATAGATGTCCGCCATTATTTTTTTTGCACAGGTGATCCGGTACGCCCTTGAGTTTTTCGTGAACCTTGGCCATCACATGATAGAAGCACATCAAGTAGACAAATTCACAATCGATACCAAAACCTCGTGTCACAGCGTTCTGTTAGGCAGCTCCCGCATCTGCCATGACGAACCTGACCAAAAGTTGCCCCAGACACGGAAGTAAAAACCCTGCGGAGCTCTGTCAGCGCTGTCACGTAATTGTCCTCCAAACGTCCGTCGAGTTGAGCGTCTGCCACCCGTGCGAAATCTGTAGCGCCGCGTGCTGCTCCACCAGCGGCAGGAGTCCCAAGCCGCCGTCCGAGACCAGCGAGTAGAAGAAATCATTGTTGGCATTCTTGGGTAGGCGAAGCAGGTGGCGAAGGCCGGCGCGGCGGTGGAGGTCGAAGCTCTCCAGGAGCTGGTCGTCGGGCCGCAGGTGGCGGAGCGCGTACTCGACGCGTGGGTACAGGTAGACCTTCATGGGCTTCACCACCTACCAAGGAGCAAGGCCGGACTCGATCAGCGCCGTCGCGCTCTGCTTGAGCGTCTTCAGCTTGGGCGCGGGGTCGATGCGGCGGCGCGCATGGTCGAAACCGTCTCCGTTTCCCAGGTAGGTTTACGATTGCATGTGGGTCATGCTTGGGATCGGAGTGCCGTCAAACGCGAGGTCCAGGTAGTATGTCTCGACCGCGCCGTTGCTGTTGCTCCGTACGCCCATACTGCTGCACTTGGCTGCGTTTGCTTGCATGTCTGTCCAAGCCAGGAACGCGGCGACGAGCTCATGCTGCTTGATGGCGCCCGCCTTGGTGCTGCTGAATGTCTTCAGGGCGTCCGCGTACGCCGAAACACCAACGCGGTTGTCGCCGGACAGCTGCACCCCGATCTCCGGCAGCCTGCGGAGCGCAAAGAGCAGTGGGCTGATCGCGGCATTGAAAATCGAAGGGCTCAGCGGGCACCCCTGGAAGACACCCACGTGCTGCCGTATTGCTGCTGTCGGCCCGTCGGAGGCGTCCCCGATAACGAAGGCGGTCTGGTGGTACAGCCCCTTGCACATGTCAATGAATTCGGCAGGAACGCCGAGGCGCCGCAGCGAGTCCCACAGCAGCTTGAATGGCACGCTGAAGCACCAGCATTTCCTCTTGTCGAGAAGTTCTCAAAGAATGTGAATTTTCTTTTGTTTAGTACACCAAGTTTGTATAAGTTTATATTCATGTTAAACCTTTTCCCAGGAATGAAACCTGTGAACTTAATTTAAATTCCTAGGAAAATAAGACCTGCTCATTTTAAATTTGTATCGAATCGATTTCTACTTTAGTGTATGTATATCATCTCAAATTAACCCTTATAAGGATGTTCGTACTACAACTAGTAAAATTTGTATCGAATCGATTTCTACGATTAGTGTATGTATATAATCTCAAATTAACCCTATAAGGATGTACGTACTACAACTCGTAGAACTACCATGATAACAACCATGATTGTTGTGTTGTAAAAAAAGTTATCTGAGTGGGTTTCTATGCGGTACAGTACTTAAAGTAGCTGCCAACCCGTAGTACAACAGTAGCTGGCCGTAATAACTGGTCGTAAAAACATCGCAGTGCTATTGTCCCGGCCATAAAGGCTCGGACGGAAAATGGTAATATATTAACTCCATTTCTAAGTATTTATATCTCAGCAACCAACTGTCTAATTTAACTGCGGCTGCCCTTAAACGCAAGTACAATGTCTTATTATTAATAGCAAAAAGCCTAGTCTAGCCGAAAGGTTGCCACTGCGACAAATGCCGGCCGGTAAGAAAGTATCAGCAGCCGAAAAACACTTGGTGACAAAGACCTACGAATACATACTCCGTAAAACGTCGCTGCATCGAAGCTGCGGAAGGGAGAAGTACGCAATCATGTTAGTGAATGTCTGGGCTTCGCGCCGAGTACAATTTCGGCGATATGGGGCCAGTGGGAGAGGAATCACGACCCCACCTTTGCCTCGATAAGGTCTTTTAAACGCAATTGCAGTTATGTATGAAGCTTAACATTTCACTGGTCGTATTTTTAAATCATGCCAGACTATAGGGCCAAAACCGGCTGATAGGCCCGGTAAGCATGGGGAAAGCCTGCATCCTTTGGTACGTAAGCTCGTTTCTGACATGAATAAAAGCGGTAGGCCTGTTGCAGCTCCGAAACTGGCGAAGTGGCTTTTTGATGAATTTAACATTTCAGTTCTGTGCGGTATTTGCGGCGGGTGCTCCGTCGAATGGGAATGAGGTTTATTAAGGAGAAATCTCGCAACATTTTAGCTGAATCGACAGCTAATGTTGCTTTTCGCACTCAATATTTGAAGAAAAAGTCGCCAATTTAAATAGGCGGAGCTTTCTTATTCGTCCAGAAGTGTTTCTGGACGAAACATTCTGCAACTTGAACCATGACGCTCAGCTGGTAGGGTCGATGAAAATAAAATCCAATATTAAAAAAGCGGTAGAGGCCTAAGGTGCAATATTATCCTTTTTATTGGTTTTGTATTAATATTTTGTTTGCTTATACTTTTTTTTTCGACACGAACAGGTTTTGCATTGTTGTAACCGGCATTATTCGTCGTGAAAAAAAAAACGGAATGGTTGGACAACTGATAGAAGAATCGAGAGAAGTGTGGCAACCCAACCTAAAACGAAAATATGATGACGACTACCACGGAAATTTCAACACAGAGCAATTTGAGAGATGGTTTGAGGTCCTATGTCCACATTTAGCAAACAAATACGGTCCTTGCAACATACACATGGATGGCGCGAGCTATCACAAGAACCAAACAAACTCGGTCCCAACTCGAGAGCTCTCAAAAACGATATTCAAGCATGGTTCGGAGAAAAGGGTGCGATTTTATCTTTCATGCTGATTTATTTAAAAGGTTTCTTTTTTATAATCAAATTAGAGATTTGATGCGACGTCGGCTACACTAAAGCTGAGCTGATGATGCTTGTTCGTGCCAACAAGCCTAAACCAATCTACAGGGCTACAGAAATTGCTACTTCACATAACCATTTGGTATACTATACTACCCCGAACTACAGCCCATTGGACTTTTTGGGCTAGCATAAAGGGTGGCATCGCGGACGACCCTGCTTCCGATATGGCGGAGCTTCGCTCGAAGATCGACGCTGGATTTGCATCTCTAGTCTCAGATACCTGGACAGATGCGTATCAGCACGCTCAAGACTACGAGCAAAAGTACCTGCAGTTGGCGGACGAGTGTGAACTCGTATCCGATTCAAAAGAAAGTGAGCATGAAAGCTGTGAGGACTCCGATGTCAGTGACTGACCCATTGACTGGTCTATACCTAAAACAACATGCCATTCAAACGTTTTTCTAACAAGTATACATTTCTTTTAACAATCATGATAAATGACCAGATTATCGTAATATACTCAAAATAATTGTAAATCTCCATCTGCTATCACAGATAAGCCAATAAAGAAGCTCAAATCATTGTACGTGACAGGCTTTCAATTGCAAATAATTCTACAACAAATAATGGGGCTTTTCAAACGTCAGAATGAAGGGAAAGGGCTTCCAAATGGCAAAAACGGACTTCCGATTCGGACTCAGAGCCCATTTTCACCCTATATATCTAAATGTTGATATAGGTTTTGTAAAAGGAAATAACCTTTTTTTGGATGCAAAGTCCGTCCGAGGTTTGGTGGCCGGGACAATAAAAACGTTGTCGCTTGAGACATAGCGATAGAAAGGCTCAGATGGAGCGAAAATAACTCATATGTGGTGGTGACTACTGTTAGCAAATTGAGCTTGGCCTTAGTTCTCTAAACGCTGTTTAGACAGCAAAAACTGATACTTATAAACCGGAGGACGTGTCGCCAATAAGGGCGCTGGATAAATTTTTAAATGGAGCGGATGGACAACAACACAACATGAGATGCGTAAAGTATGGTTGGTTAATTAGACCCCGTAAAGAAACGTTAAGCTTAGAGTACAATCGATCAATAAATCATTCTGCTTAACTATCAAGTATGAAAACACTGTCGTCAACTGCAATAACAGCAAGGCGTCTTGCGACGCATTATCCTAATATTTAAATCATAACTGGCACAAACTCAAATGCGAATGACTACCGGTAATTCTGAATCAGCACAAAATGAACGCTAAATACATAAAAAAAATTGCATTTGAATATTGGTTTTAGCTTTCATTTAGTTTAGAATGAGAGGTGATCAATCTTTAGTTGCTTACAGCTCAATAACGTAGTACAAGCGGGTAAGTAGTACAAGCTGGACAGGCCATTCTTATCCTTGAATTGATGCGAGCTAAGTTCCACAGCGGCTGAGAAACGGCCCATGATATCGAGCACGACACTAAGCTAAATATATTGTGTAGCGTTTGTAGACATGCTATATAAGGTGTAAATGATTATGACAGTAGTAGCCAACAGTAATTTGCCGATTCCGGACAAATTTTGGACAGGCACCATACGGCTCGACTGTGACACAATAAAACATATACCTGTCTAGCTTCATTATTCACTCCGGACGGGGGTACTTAGGTGTGTCTCAAGTGACGATAGAACACGGACAATTCAACGATTTGATCGTTCAATTTGAAGAATTGTATTTAAAGCCAATCATTTGTGCCGACAACTCCGATCCTTTCTCATTCGGCTTTTTTCAGCCTGAACCACGCAGCTGAAAGCAGCAAGCCCGATCCGGTACGTATCCCTGTGTAGCCCTGCCCCCCCCTCCACCGAAGTAGCTCAATGGAAGAGCAGGAGGTTATGCATCTAGGTTGCTGGTTCAATCGCAGCATTCGATTTTTGCTATGATGACTTGTGAGCTGCGTATTAGTGTACCAGGTGCTATGATAGGTCGCTGGCAGTCCACTGGTGCGATGGCGGGGTGCATGTATCGACTATGGACCCGTTTGACTTTAGCGTGAGGTACTGCGAGCTAAAAGCTAGATATTGCGCTGGATGAGAAGAACATAGATCACGCCAACGCATCCTAAAAGACATCGCTTTTGTGGATGGCTTCCTACCGTCGAATGTGCCGCTCGTTTGATGTGCGGTCAAGTGTCTGAGCAAGCTCCCAGCTCGTGCTTCCAAGCTCGATATGCGTCTGTGTCGTCCGCGGCGGGGGCTCGATACTTTTGCACGGCGTCTGGTACAATACTAACATGATGTTGACTGCAGCTTTTGCATCTGCGCGCTTATTTTGCTCACGTTTACCCTTAACCATCTCACCGATCTTGTTTGTATACCAATTCAGCAGACAACCGGCAAGCGTGGACGCAGTGACTGGGGCAGGAAGCACAGGAGACGGAAACGCGAGGGGTGCCGCCGGCGTATTCTCAGCAGGACTTGCTCCAGATCCACCGCAAAACAACTTGGGCACAGTATCCTCTAGTCGAGCCAGCCGGTCGTTAATTAGAACTAACCGCCTGATCATGTTTTCCATCGTTGACGTCAGGACAGCATCGCCCCTAGTAGCTGCGCTACTAACTTGTGCATGGTTTGTTGTGCGCCAGCGCTCCGTGAGACTCTCACCCCATCTATAGCAAGTGGCTGTACTGATATTACATCCAAGACGACCATTGGTTGCAGTGATCGCGCGATGGAGCTGGTACTCGTAGCGGGTTAGCTGTGTTTCGGTTATGGAAGTCGCTTCAAGAACATCCTTCATATGCATCAATTGTGTTGCAAACGTTGCATCGACGACATCAGACGCATCATTGTACCGCGTCTGCGGGCGCCCGATAACGTTCTGAAAGCGTTCAGTGCGGAGACTCACCAGCTGACCGTATTCCGCAACCGAGAGACATTCTCTCAGATCACTGATAGTCGGTGTCGTAACAGGTAAGTCTGGCAATTCGTATGCCGCTAGTACCTTACCAACGCTCTGATCCTCTCGTGTGGTCGCTCCTATATAGGCAAAAGCTTTTGTACGAAAATCCAGCAATTAAGCGCCCCTCGTTGATATCCACTGAATCGCCAGCTTAGGGGATGCGTTGACGTACGCTGCTGAGACTCGTCGGGGTGAGTGGCTCGTCATATTTGGCGTCATAAGTTGCTGCCGCGATGCTGACATGGCCTTCACTGTGTCTCGCATTACTTCGATAATATAACTTGCAATATTTGGTCGTTTGCGTTCTCGTTTTGGGGCTGGAACTTGCTCACTATCAGTGATGTTCTGCAGGCTCTCTTAATAGATTACCGCTCCCCCTGAGTGTAAGTTTGGCCTCCAGGGAGATTCGAAATAGCGTATCTCGACACAAGAGGGAACAGGTACTCCGAAGGCTCGTAGTAGCACACGACGATCAGTCCAAACGCGTGTAGCATCCACTGCTGCCATAGATCCGGAGCTTTGGTAATAAAGACACCTTGTATAGCCGATGTTTTAATCCTTGCAGCTCGGAGAAACAACTCGCCTGACGCAGCCAGTGACAATTGTTGCTTCCGCGCAAAACAGGTATATATCGCCCTCCCAAAGGTGTGCCACATCATAGAAACGACCCCCCCCCCAGTGGTGTGGTGTCTGTCCGTCAGTCCGTCCGTAACCGGCTAGGGTTTAAAATGTTACGCAAATACGGGCGCTCTACTGGCTGCCGAGCGCAGCAAAGGCGGCTCCAAATGGCTAAAATCACATTGTGTGGTGTACACACTGTATGTGGTCTACACGTCGTACATAAATGCACCGTTCTAATTTCATTTTGCCCCCATTTTCAAAACGGAAGCCGTGGAACGCCACGCTACTCAAGGTACGCTGCGTGTATGCATGTTAGCTTGCATTAATAATTAGCAAGACACACATTAACAGATAGTCCGAGGTTCCTGGGGCTGCTTAGGGGGTAGCTTATAACTTGCGGGATTCTATCCTGCTAGTAGGTAGCCGTGCTAAGGGGATTTATTTCTAGAACCTTCTGGGTTCTTGGGGCTTAATCATACCGCCCACTCTGCGCGAGAGCACATTTGGCACCTGGTCCATTGACCGCAAACCCGACAGCGAACCAGTTGAGCCGGTCGTTAATGGTTATTGATAGGCACGCACATTGCGCAGTTGGTCAGGAGGGGTACCGTAACTGGCCTCTTTTAACCGACAGATGGGATGAGCTCTTCGAAGTCGCCTACCGCATACCCGTTCGCTTCAAGTAATTCTTGAATGCTCATCAGCGTTTCAAATTCGACCAGCACCGACTTGAAGGGGTCCATCAAAGCCTGATGTTTGCATGCGAAGTCTTGGGAAAGATCAGCGAAAACCGATCCCATAGAACACTAACATTTTCTGGAGCTGAATACACCAGAATGGTGACGAAGAGCTGGCGTAGTTGATACGGCATTTGGAACTCAGCCGCTTCCGTCAATCACGAAATCCACTCGTTGTCATTCTTCAAGTAGCCAGCCTCCCGCGCCGCAATTTGGAATGTGGGGCAGACAATTCCGTTTACCGCTCTCAAGTCTTCAAACGACGTTGGGTTTCTACACTGACAGCGGAGTAGCCGAAGATAGAACCGCTCCATATCTCGAGGAGACACGTGCATCATGCGACCAACTGCAGCTTGATACGGTTTCCGGCGAACCCACCTTTTCGGTTGCCTTTTCTCCGGCGTTTTCCAGCAGAACTCTTTAGGGATGTCCTGATACAACATCGTCCTAACAATATGATTCTCGGGCACTTCCCTCGCACACAACTCAAAGAATCGGGTCAGCATCGTGTGACTACCACGTTCCAAAACCGCCTCCGGGTTTTCCGTTTCGCGGAAGCAAACCATCTGCCCTGACTCGAGATGAACTGTTAGCTGTGTCACCGCTTGGGTTTTCCCCTGAATCGTGAAATCGATCAGGCGCATGCAAGCCTCCACCGGAGAAATGTAACGGGCGCTCAAGAAACGTAGAATCTCGTTTGGCTCTCGACGCGAGCTCTGCTGCCCTCCTCGAACTTCTTCCACAGTGAGTATAGCCATGTCGGGTCCTTTGTACACATACTTGTACAGATACTTAACCGCCGATATATCCGTGCACACTTCCACACTAATGTGGCAGTTGTACTTCTGGGATAAGTACGGATTGTACGGTACAATCCACTGGTTCATCGTGGCATTGTCGTTTTCCCTGCCTTTGAACTTTAGAGCACCTTCTTGTCGCCGACGTCGTTTGTACACTGGATATCCATTGGCATTGGCTTGTGTAACTTCTGCTAAGGGCTTGGGAAACCCTTTGGAGCACTTGCCGTCCTTCATACACGCACATGAAGGGTTTGCAGGCCCGCATGGACCATGGAGCATGCATCCTATGACCCTTTCATACAGCCGAGGATTTTTATCATTATCTGGGATCTCAGCACATACTATCTTGTCTACGATCTCGCGCGCTCGTGGTTTATCTTCGTCAGCCAAAATAATCAATACGTGAGCGTGGGGGGGACCTCGTTTTTGAAACTCGACAACGTAAATCCGCGCTCTCACCCGCCCCAGGATGCCTTGGTTTAAATCGTCAAGCGTTGCTTGCCGTTTCTGCTGCCACACGCGAGCCACGATGTCTGGTCGATCTTGAGCTGTTTGGATATCGTAAGGTATCGCTTCAAGAATCTCGTCCCACTTGGTTTTTTGCACGTTTCAGTCAGGAGGACCTCGGGCCGTCCATACTTCCGTACAACCGCCATCGAATCTTGGTACGACTTGTACATGGACCGCGGACTACCCAGGTGCGAAGCCGGTAGTATGATACGCTTGCCAACCTGATTAAGAAAGTGGGTAGGTCGTCCTCTGCTGCCCCCGTCCCGTTCCGGGTGCACCAATCTATTCTGGGCCCGGTCATATTCCGACAGCAGCACTTCTCCTTCCGCCAGAGCCAAATTATCCGCGTTGAGCAAAGCGTCTTGAACATTCCTGTATTAATCGGCGCGAAGTGTTTTCGGATTGTTGGCCTCCCAGTGAAGCTGTTCTTGCTCACATTTTGCGCGCTGAACTACACACCACTGTTAAAATCTACGCCCGCCTTGGTGGAGAGCAGACTGATCATCCACTTTCTGGTGAAGGCGGAACGTGACGTGTTCACGAAGCGACATCGCCTTCTTGTTTCGATACTCAGCACCATTCGCGAACTCGTCTGTGTAGGTCCAGCCCTTCTCTCCATACGGAAGGAGAAGCGGGTATTGGAGTAAATCGCAGTCGGCGTGCGTCTCGTACAAACGTAGCAGCCTATGATCGCGTGTTAAGAGTAGTAGATCCCGAGGCGGAGCCAGGTTGCCATCCTCAATGAGAGTCGCAGCCACTTCAGACACAGTGGGGTGGTTAAGAGTCCGCGGTCGCGAGGAGTTGTCAAGCAGACGGAACACCAAGTCAACTGGACCCTCCGTGTTGTGTTGGCGTACTTGCTGCCCAAAGTGGAGGAACCGCTGCGCTAATGGGTTGTGCTCTGCTATCAGTTTCTCGATGTCTAGTAGTGCAACCCGATCCAGATCCGCGAATATACCAAGACGTCGCTCCGCGCGGCGTTGCTTGTCCGGATCCACAATATAGATCTGCGCAAACTTCGGCGCGCCTGTCCGACGGTCTATGTGGGGAATGAGAGACCCCAGATAGTGCCCCATAGCCCCTTGAATGCGATATATGTACACCCCGTGTGTACCGGCAACACCATCGTCTTGACGAACGTTTTGAAACGATCGGTTTGAGCACGATGCACCGATCAACGTAAACGCAAAGGCTTGGTGGTAGGCAGGAATTTGACGGCGGAACTCGGGATCTCCGTACAGCGGAAGCAACTTCCGTGGCGCGGGGTGCAGTGGAGGCAGCTTTATCCTGCCTGCCAGACAGCA